TCGTTTACAAAACAGATGTAGTTGCAGGATGGTATTATAGTTTATACTTCCCTCATCTTCCCAGTAAGATGAACTCCTTAAAGATTGTACATAGACATAGCAATTTTAAGGTGGGGAGGGCAATGGGGCATTGGGCCAAGGCTGAAATGGCATCTCATATACTAAGGCCTTTTGTCCCAACCTTCCATCATAAGAATACGACTTTTGGCCGGGCGCGGTGGCTCAAGCCTGTAATCCCAGCACTTTGGGAGGCCGAGACGGGCGGATCACGAGGTCAGGAGATCGAGACCATCCTGGCTAACACAGTGAAACCCCGTCTCTACTAAAAACACAAAAAACTAGCCGGGCGAGGTGGCGGGCGCCTGTAGTCCCCGCTACTCGGGAGGCTGAGGCAGGAGAATGGCGTAAACCCGGGAGGCGGAGCTTGCAGTGAGCTGAGATCCGGCCACTGCACTCCAGCCCGGGCAACAGAGCAAGACTCCGTCTCAAAAAAAAAAAAAAAAAAAATACGACTTTTGATCTCCCTGTCCATGGTCTATTATATTACTTAACTCCCACAAATGCGAGTGGTATCCCAAATGGAAGAGCTCCACAGTTCGAACTGCTGATCCCAAACAAGAGAGATGATAGGTGATATGGTTCCCAGTGAGGTGGGGACGACAGAAAATGGCCTAAGCCTTCCAGTAGCCATTGGCACACACTATATTGTCCTGGGTGTTGCCTTGGGTATCGAATATGGGGAACAGGTCCTGTATATTTGTATTGTTGCCCATCTACATTAGAATAAGCCATGGGGACCGGGCACGGTGGCTCATGCTTGTAATCCCAGTACTTTGAGAGATCGAGGTGGGTGAATCATGAGGTCAGGAGACAGAGACCAGTCTCACCAACATGTGAAACCCCATCTCTACAAAAAATACAAAAATTAGCCGGGCGTGGTGGCACATGCCTGTAATCCCAGCTACTTAGGAGGCTGAGGCAGAATTGCTTGAATCCTGGAGGTGGAGATTGCAGTGAGCCGAGATCGCACCACTGCACTCCAGCTTGGGCGTCAGAACGAGACTCCATCTCAAAATAAATCAATAAGCCATGGGACATCAGGAACATGAATCTGAGGGTTGCCATCCTAATTGTTTTAGATTCCTAATCTAGAGGGTTTTCATCCCGGGGATAGAGAGAATCCTGGAGACAGGGTCTCAAGAGTTCCCTACAGATGTTTGGATCCAGGAGGCATGCCTCTAGAAGGGTGGGTGAAGCACGTGTGGGCGGCTGTTTAACAAAGGTTTCACACAGCACCATCATTTCGACCGGGCGGTACTGGGAGCTCAGGGATACTGTTTTCCACCCTTGGCCAGCCGTTGGTTCAACCCAGAAAATGCAGAGGAAGTGGAAACTGGTTTTTAGGCAAAACGGGAGTTGTCAGCCCTTTCTCAGAAACCCTTACACCTGTGTCGTTAGTCTGGCGGCCATGCTGCTTGTTTTTAAACGGCCAACAGGTGCCTGGTGTTTGTCCTCAATTCTAAAGTAAAATAGAGCAGAGTAGCAAGCGGAAGAGTCCCAATGTTACTGCTTTGGAAATCCCAGGTGAGCCCCCATGATGAGTCAGTTTTTCCTGCCAATGGGTTCCTGGTCTCGGTAACTTCGAAGAATGAAGCAGAGGACCTTTGTAGTGAGTGTTAACAGTTCAAAAAGAGTCCACGGACCAGGAGAGTGAGCAGCAGTTCAGTTTAGTGAACAAAACGAAAGCTTCCATGCGCTGGAAGGGGACCCAGAAGGGTTGTCATTGCTGGCTTGGGTGGCTAGGGCTCATTGGCACTGTTACTTCCTCCCCTTTCTGTCCATCAAGAGTGGTTCTTCTTTCAGTCCCCCCTTGGAGTGGTTAATTTTGAATCCTTCACTCCATTGGTTAAGAACTCAGGGCCGGCCGCGTTGGCTCAGGCCTGTAATCCCAGCACTCTGGGAGGCTGAGGTGGGCAGATCACAAGGTCTGGAGATTGAGAAATTAGCCAGGCGTAGTGGCGGGCACCTGTAGTCCCAGCTACTCAGGAAGCTAAGGTAGGAGAATGGTGTGAACCCAAGAGGCGGAGCTTGCAGTGAGCTGAGATTGCGCCACTGCACTCCAGCCTGGGCGACAGAGCGAGACTCTGTCTCAAAAAAACAAAAAACTCAAAACCCTGAGTCACGGGGGTCTTTTGTGAAAGTCCCCAAAGTGGCCCAGGAAGTCCCACCAACTCCACCCCTTGCTAGCATGCATCATTGCCCATGCACTGGCTTCACTGACACTGAAAACGGGCCAGCAAGGTGCCTCACCCCTGTATTCCCAGCACTTTGGAAGACTGAGGCAGAACTGCTTGAAATCAGTGCAAAACCATCCTGGGCAACATAGCAAGACTATGTATGTAAAAAAAAAAAACAAAAACAAAAAACGTAGTAAGGCCAGGTGCCGTGGCTCACGCTTGTAATCCTAGCACTTTGGGAGGCCGAGGCAGGTGAATCACAAGAGGTCAGGAGTTCAAGACCAGTCTGGCCAACATGGCAAAACCCCATCTCTACTAAAAATACAAAAATTAGGCCGGGCGCGGTGGCTCAAGCCTGTAATCCCAGCACTTTGGGAGGCCGAGACGGGCAGATCACGAGGCCAGGAGATTGAGACCATCCTGGCTAATGTGGTGAAACCCCGTCTCTGCTAAAAATACAAAAAAAAAAAATTAGCTGGGCAAGGTGGCAGGCGCCTGTAATCCCAGCTACTCGGGAGGCTGAGGCAGGAGAATGGCGTGAACCTGGGAGGCGGAGCTTGCAGTGAGCTGAGATCTGGTCACTGCACTCCAGCCTGGGCGACAGAGTGAGACTCCATCTCAAAAAAAAAAACAAACAGGGGCCAGGCGCGGTGGCTCAAGCCTGTAATCCCAGCACTTTGGGAGGCCGAGATGGGTGGATCACGAGGTCAGGAGATCAAGACCATCCTGGCTAACACGGTGAAACCCCATCTCTACTAAAAAATACAAAAAAAAAAAAAACTAGCCTGGCGAGGTGGCGGGCGCCTGTAGTCCCAGCTACTCGGGAGGCTGAGGCAGGAGAATGGCGTAAACCTGGGAGGCAGAGCTTGCAGTGAGCTGAGATCCGGCCACTGCACCCCAGCCTGGGCAACAGAGCAAGACTCCGTCTCAAAACAAACAAACAAACAAAAACACAAATTAGCCAGGCATGGTGGCGTACACGATAAATTCCAGCTACTCAAGAGGCTGAGAAAGGAGAATCGCTTGAATCCGAGGTGGAAGCTGCAGTGAGCCGAGATTGCGCCACCACACTCCAGCCTGCACAATGGGCACAAGGCTGCATCTCAAAAAAAAAAAAAAAAAAAAAACAGTGATAAAAAAACAAAACAAGAGGCTTTTAAGTTAAGGAATTTGAAGCCAGCCTGGGCAACATAGCAAGACCCCATCTCTACAAAATATTAACCGAGTGTGGTGGCACAAGCATGTAGTCCCAGCTACTCAGGAGGCTGAGGCAAGATCCTGGAAGATCAAGGCTGCAGCAAGCTATGATCGTACCACTGCACCCCAACCTGGGTGACAGTGAGACTGTCTCAAAATTTTACATCAGTAAATAATACAACAGGAATTAAGTCTTTGCTCACCCCAACACATCTAAGAAACTCCTGACCTTATGATTTACCCGCTTCAGCCTACTAATTACAAACTTTAAAAACACCAAATTATCTGAGCGTGGTGGTGTGCACACCTGTAGCCCTGGCTACTTGGGAGGCAAAGGAGAGAGGATCACCGGAGCCTGAGTTCCAGGGTACAGGGAGCCATGACCACACCACTGCACTCCAGCCTGGGTGACCTTAAGGGGAAAACACCAAGGCTTGCCCTTCTTAAGAGGCACAGCACTGACTGCAGACTGAGAGTGATGTCATGGCCTCAGGTTCAAAACAGAACTGGGCCAGGCATGCTAGCTCACGCCTGTAATCCCAGCATTTTGGGAAGCCGAGGCAGGCGGGTCACAAGGTCAGGAGATCGAGACTATCCTGGCTAACATGGTGAAACACCGTCTCTACTAAAATACAAAAAATTAGCCAGGCGTGGTGGTGGGCACCTGTAGTCCCAGCTAGTCGGGAAGCTGAGGCAGGAGAATGGCGTGAACCTAGGAGGCAGAGCTTGCAGTGAGCCGAGATAGCACCACTGCACTCCAGCCTGGGCGACAGAACAAGACTCCGTTTCAAAAAAAGGAAAAAAAAAAAAAAGGAGAATAAAATAGAGCAAGAGATGAAAACTACGTCTCAAAAAAACCCCAAAAAAACTGAGAACTGGGTCAGGAATGGCAGTTCTTGCCTGTAATCCCAACACTGAGGGGCTGAGGTGGGAGGATAGCTTAAGCCCAGGTTCAGGACCAGCCTGGACAACACAGTGAGACCCCATTTCTATAAAATAAAAAAATTTGAGAACCAATGTTCTACACCATTGGGTGTACCTAATTTTCTACCCATTTCCACACACCTAGGCACTTCAGGGCCAAGGCCTGAGGGACACCTGAAAGTGCCTGATGGATCCCAGCAATGACAAAACTAATCCTCAGTCCCACCAATTACAGGACTGAGGTTTTTTTTGTTTTTTTTTTTTGAGATGGAGTCTCGTTCTGTCGCCCAGGTTAGAGTGCAGTGGCGCGATCTGGGCTCACTGCAATCTCTGCCGCCTCCCGGGTTCACGCCATTCTCCTGCCTCAGCCTCCCGAGAAGCTGGGACTACAGGCGTCCGCCACCACACCCGGCTAATTTTTTTGCGTTTTTAGTAGAGACGGGGTTTCACCGTGTTTGCCAGGATGGAGTACAGATGACAAATCCAGAGTCAGGGGCATAGGACAGGGACCAATGCAGGTGGGACAGAATCTAGGACAGAGGACCCCACAGGTGGCACAGAATGGAGTGCTAAGTAGAGTCCCTAAGGGAGATGCCCACTCTTTAGCTACCTCCCTGGACAGACCAGCCATGAGGACACCAGTTGCTGCTCCAGTCAACGAAAGGGACACTTTATTGAGGCTCCAGGGCCACGGGGCCTGGGCAGGAGGTTGCCCTTCAAGGATAGAAGAGCCTTATTTGACCTTCTTCTTGGGGCGCAGGTTGTTGGTGTGGCCACACTTCTTCTTGCGGCAGTTGACAGCACGAGGGTGAAGGCGAGCATAGCACCTGCAAAGAGACAGGAGGGGCAGATGAGGGCATACTCCGACTGTGGCAGCCCCCACAGCCTCCCAAGCATCGGAGCACACATACTTGCGGCAGATCATCTTGTCGCAGTTGTATTTCTGGGCAAGCTGGCGGAGGGAAGGCTCAATAATGCCACCTCGCAGGCGCAACACCAGGTGCAGGGTGGACTCTGCAGGAGACAGCCAGAAGGACGGCGACTGAGCCCAGCCCTAGCTTCTCAGTCAGAGGGGCAGGGCCCTCCAGGGCCTATAGTCTGGTGCTTTCTCAAGTGTGATGGGGACACCAAGTCGGGATCCCCCGAGTGTTCTATGTGTGGAAGATACACTGTCCCAGCCAGGCCTGCCCCATGAAATCTCCATCTCAGCACTGACCACGAGCTCTGGGGGAGTCTGAGACACACATGCCAACTGAGGTATCCATCTGAGTTTCTAATATGGAAGCCGACTTCTAAGTGGTTCAGGCAAGGTCAGACACTGAAGTCTAGGCTGGGCGCAGTGGCTCACGCGTGTAATCCCAGCACTTTAAGAGACCAGCCTGGCCAACATAGTGAAACTCTGTCTCTACTAAAAATACAAAAAAAATTAGCCGGGCGTGGTGGGGGGCACCTGCAATCCCAGCTGCTTGGGAGGCTGAGGCAGAGGAATTGCTTGAACCTGGCAGGCGAAGGTTGCAGTGAGCAGAGATCACGCCACTGCACTCCAGCCTGGGTGACAGAGTGAGACTGTCTCACAAAAAAAGGACACTGAATTCTTGTCACTCCAACAAGTGACACTAATTTCCTTATTGCAATGATAAAAAAATTCACATTATGACTTTTTTTTTTTTTTTTGAGACGGAGTCTCGCTCTGTTGCCCAGGCTGGAGTGCAGTGGCGCAATCTCGGCTCACTGCAAGCTCCGCCTCCCGGGTTCACGCCATTCTCCTACCTCAGCCTCCCGAGTAGCTGGGACTACAGGCGCCCGCCACTGCGCCCGGCTAATTTTTTTCTATTTTTTAGTAGAGACGGGGTTTCACCATGGTCTCGATCTCCTGACCTTGTGATCCGCCCGCCTCGGCCTCCCAAAGTGCTGGGATTACAGGCGTGAGCCACCGGACTCTTTTTTTTTTTTTTGCCTCCTAAGTTCAAGCAATTCTCCTGCCTCAGCCTCCTGAGTAGCTGGGACTACAGGCATGCACCACCATGCCTAGCTAATTTTCGTATTTTTAGTAGAGATAGGATTTCACCATGTTGGCCAGAATTATCTCTATCTCTTGACCTTGTGATCTGCCTGCGTTGGCCTCCCAAAGTGCTGGGATTACAGGCCTGAGCCACTGCACCCAGCTAATTTTTGTATTTCTAATAGAAACGGGATTTCACCACGTTGGCCAGGCTGGTCTGGAACTCCTGACCTCAGGTGATCCACCCACCTCACCCTCCCAAAGTGCCGAGATTACAGGCGTGAGCCACTGTGCCCAGTCCCATTATTTTTAACAAAACACAAGTCATCTGAACTGCTCCCCAACCCCTGACTAAAGCCATCAATGCTCTTTTCCTAGAACCTGGGGATCTTGGGTTCCTGCCCAGCAACCCCAACCCTGGTACCTTTCTGGATGTTGTAGTCTGAGAGAGTGCGGCCATCTTCCAGCTGTTTGCCAGCAAATATCAGACGCTGCTGGTCAGGTGGGATACCTGAGGGGGAGGAAGGCTCAGTTAGAGGCTCTGTGGAGCATACTACTGGCAGTGTCCCCGGCAGGGGAGTTCCAGCACTACCCCCAGTCTCTCAAAAGGCGAACTGAGGTAGAGATAACAGATGTTCTTCAGATCACATGGAGAAACATGGGCAAAACAGGTCTGTCTAAAGCCAGCACCAACCCACTCAGGACTGAAACTCCCCTGGGCAGAGAGGGATTCCCAGTCCATAGCCAAAGCCCCCACACCCAGTCCCGACTCACCCTCCTTGTCTTGAATTTTGGCTTTGACATTCTCAATGGTGTCACTGGGCTCGACCTCGAGGGTGATGGTTTTGCCCGTGAGGGTCTTCACAAAGATCTGCATGTTTGCGTCTGCTGGAGGAAGGGAGGCAGGAGAGACTGGTGAGCAATGCATGCCTGAGTGGCGCAAGCTCAGGTGCCTACACCCCAGATGCTATCCCTTTGCCTGCACCGAGCCCAACAGGTCCTGCCCCAGTACCTGTCTTCCTTCCACTCCTCCAAGCCTGGCCCTACTAAGCTTCTCACACACCCTGGCCTGGAGTCTACACATGTCCTGGAACTAAGGACCACATGTCCTCCACCCTCCTGACTGCATGGGCGCTCTTCAGGAACACAGACTGTGGTTATTCTCCTTAGGCTTAGCAGCAGCAGGACTCGTCAGTATCTCCTGATGGAATAAATACCCTTTGGCATCATCTTGCCAGATCCATCTTCCCTGAGAACCGTCCCACCCTCTCCCACCACAGCCACGTCCTGATCTCCTCCACAAGTTGCTCCTGCTGCCAGCCTGGATGGGAAGCCATCCCCTACAACACACATGCCTTACTGTCGCAGCGTCTCTCCTCTCTCCAACTCCAAGCTGGGGCACCCAACACTCTTAGCTTCCTTCTCAATTACGCCAAAACTCTCCAGACCCCACTTCTTGCCTTGACCCCAAACCACAAACATCACTTAGTATCTACCAACCACTTGCCAAGCATTGTTTACATATAAAAGTTGACTTAAAAAGGCAAAAGAATCGACCGGGTGCAGGGGCTCAAGGCTGTAATCCCAGCACTTTGGGAGGCCGAGGCAGACGGATCATTTGAGGTCAGGAGTTCAAGATGAACCTGGCCAACATGGTGAAACCCCGTCTCTACTAAAAACACAAAAAATCAGCTGGGCGTGGTGGCGGGCGCCTGTAATCCCAGCTACTCGGCAGGCTGAGGCAGGAAAATCGCTCGAGCCCGGGAGGTGGAAGTTGCAGTGAGCCGAGAACTCCAGCTTAGGCGAAAGAGCGAGACTCCTTCTGAAAAAAATACAAATAGTCTAAAGAAGAATCTAAAAGGCAGACGCTACCACCAGCCCCTCCTTACAGACACAGTAATGGAGCCAGGTATGAACACTCAGCTCGAGGAATTTAGTATTTCCAAAGTATTTACACGCAGTGACTGGCAGAGTTAACGCTACACGCTCAATACCCCTCTCTCATTAACTCGGATCTGCCCAGAGGACGCCTTCCCGCCCGAGGCCTCGTGGGGTCACGCTGGCAGGAAGAGCACACAGGCTCCTCTCCAAAACGGCGCTCGCCTCCTGGGCCCAAGTTTGGGCTCGGAGCCGCGACCTCGAGAGCCTTGCCCAGTCACCCCGCCGAGACTGGCCCGCATGAGCCGGTTCAGGGCCACCTCTTCTGCCGCCCAGGCCCCTGCGGCCTTCCGCAGGCCCCCACCCGCCCTCGGACCGGCGCCCACCCGCTCGACCGCCGCCACCAAACCAGCTCAGCCGCCTCGCTGAAGAAAAAGAGGACGGCGGAACCGGAAACCACCTAATCTCCGCCGAAGGCGCTTGCGCACGGAGCACGCCGGACGCCTGCGTCACAATTCGCGCCGCGCCTTGGGCCGCGTCCTGCCGCCATCTTGGATGCTGGCAAACGAAGCCGTAGCGCACGTGGGTCAGCGTCGCCCACCCGCTTCCGGGTATGGGCCCCGCCCGCCGAGTCACTAGAGGAGATGATTGCACCTCTCCCGGTGTTTGCGCCCGCTGCCTCTGGGCCACTGACAACCGCTGACGCTTGGCGGGCCCTCAGCGAATACTTGAACGGAGTAGAGGAGAACATTTTCTAATAAAGCAAAGGTATTAAGCAGAGGACTGCGGGTCCAGGACGCACGAATCGGGGCTTGGAAAGCACCTAACACCTGGAATCGGTTGTTATCAAGCTCTCGGCCGCTGTGCCTGAATGGATTTCAGGACAGCAGCAGGGAGAGCTGACGGAACTACCGCATTCGACCAGAAAGGTGGTGGTGCCTGACAAAAGGTTCCAAGCGGGACTCAAGGTCTTTTGTTTTTGTGACGGAGTTTCGCTCTTGTTGCCCAGGCTGGAGTGCAGTGGCGGGATCTCGACTCCCCGCAACCTCCGCTACCCGAGTTCAAGCAATTCTCCTGCCTCAGCCTTCCTAGTAGCTGGGATTACAGGTGTGCGCCACCATGCCCAGCTAATTTTGTATTTTTAGTAGGGACGGGGGGGGGTCTCTCCATGTTGTTCAGGCTGGTCTCGAACTCGCGACCTCAGGTGATCCGCCGGCCTCGGCCTCCCAAAGTGCTAGGATTACAGGCGTGAGCCACTGCACCCGGGAGGGTCTCTTTTCAACGTAGGATCCAGATTTGTGGGTGGCTAAAAAGTGCCAGGGCAGGCTGGGCCCGGTAGTTCACGCCTGCATTTTGGGAGGCAGAGGCAGGTGGATCACCTTAGGTGGGGAGTTGGAGACCAGCCTGACCAACATGGAGAAACCCTATCTCTACTAAAAATACAAAATTAGGTGGGCATGGTGGTGCATGCCTGTAATCCCAGCTACTCAGGAGGCTGAGGCAGGAGAATCACTTGAACCTGGGAGGTGGAGGTTGCAGTGAGCTGAGTTCATGCCACAGCACTGCAGCCTGGGCGACAGAGTGAGAGTCCATCTCAAAAAAAAAAAAAAAAGAAAGAAAGAAAGTGCCAGGGCGAGTGTAGTGGTTCACACTTGTAATCCCAGCACTTTGGGAGGTCAAAGAGGGAGGATTACTTGAGGCCAGGAATTCAAGACCAGCCTGGAAAACATAGTGAGACCCTGAATCTACAAAAAAACAAAAAAATTTTTTTAATTATCCAGGTGTGGTGGGGCGCACCTGTAGTCCCAGCTACTTAAGAGGTTGGAGGATTGCTTGAGCCCAGGGGTTTGAGGTGCAGTGACCCATGATTGGACCACTACACTCCAGCTTGGGCAACAAAGAGAGATGCTGTCTCCAAAAAAATAAAAAATACAAAAGTGCTGAGTACTGAGAAGATGGGGAGCAATGTGAAGTCACCTATAGGCTTAACAGGGGTACCTGTTTATTTCCTTGAACATTTGCAGGCGCTACTATACCAGGCAAAAGCAGATACTCTCATGTCTGGGAAGATGCCTTTAGGAACATAATTTCTTTTTCTTTTTTGAGACAAGAGTTTCGCTCTTGTTGCCCAGGCTAGAGTGCAGTGATGCGAACTTGGCTCACTGTGACCTCTGCCTCCTGGATTCAAGCAATTCTGCCTCAGCCTCCCAAATAGCTGGGTTTACAGGTGTGCGCCACCACGCCCAGCTAATTTTTGTATTTTTAGTAGGGACGGGGTTTCACCATGTTGGCCAGGCTGGTCTCGAACCCCTGACCTCAGGTGATCCACCCGCCTCAGCCTCCCAAAGTGCTGGGATTACAGGCATGAGCCACCAAGCCCGGTCGTAACAACATAATTTCTAAGTACTCAGAAGATGAGGTAACCCTCGGAGTGTGTCTGATGGGGAATGGATTTAGTGTGGCTCCCAGATCTGGAGGAAGACTGAGATCTGGAGGAGGAATTATGAAAGGAGGATGGGAACGGTAGTATTGTGAGCATTGAGAGCAGCGTGAGGGAAGACCTAGCAGGTGATGGGAACTTGGGTAGTTCTAGCTCCCACCAGGGGGATTCCAAAAAAGGGCCACGTCTCTTTCTAGGTCTGTGGTGCCTGACTGTCTGCACCTCCCTCCAGCAGGGTCCCCAGCCCCACATCCAGCACTTGCCCATCTTTTGGGTTGCCTGGCCTAAGGATGGAAGAAGCCATGGCTAGGTGTACTTTTCCCTTTTTAGTAATGGTATCTTTTTATTGATAACTTCCCAACAGCATCTGTAAACATTGGGTACAAAAATATTCCATTAAACTCTTTCCCAAGGTGGCTCCGTTTGCTCCATGGAGGCCCTCAGAGAGGCCTGCTGGCCCCTCAGGTTCCACGCCTCTATTCAGAGAAACACAGGCCTCAGCATGCTCAGGGCTGAATGGATGGCCAGCCTCCATCTCAAGACTTCTACCTGTCTCAGAAACCTCTTTGAGATACCAAGGAGACAGTATTTGATACTTTTACGGAGCAAGGGGCAGGAAAAGCAGAATTAGTGGGTGCAGGGGTGGGCTGGGGTGAACTCAGAGGAGACCGTGCTTGTGCACCTCAAGGAGGTCCTGACCGGGGGTGGGGGACATCTGGCTCTGGTCTCTGGGAACCTTTCAAGCATTCTTCAGAGCAGACGTCAGGCTCAGCTCTGGAAAAATTCCCGTGCCCAGCCCTGCGACTCCAGCCGGAATGGGCGTGCCCTGGCATGGCAGAGGGGTCTTGCAGAAGAGAGGTGTTCTGAGGAAGGAAGGAGCCAGAATTAAAGACCCCCCAGGAATTTCACACCCCTCGGGAGACAGCCCTGTTCCCCTAGGAGCCCTGGGTGACAGAACGGGGCAGCAAAGGAGCCCTGGGTGACAGAACAAGGCAGGGTTACCCGCTGCCACCTTGTATGCCACTGTCCTGAGACCCCTCAAGGCACTGGGCAGTAGGTCTATTCGCCCGTCGTCTCCTCATCATCTGTCTGGCTGCGGCCATTGATGGCTGGGGAGCCAGGCTGGACATGGGACAGGTCCTCGAAGCCAGGGCTCAGGGAGGGCGAGACAGTGTCGGGGCTGGTGTCACATGAGCCCGTGCTCTGTTCTGAGGTGGCGATGGTGGTCGTGGTGCTGGGTGGGATGGGGTCTTCATCCTCTTCCTCCAGGAAGGATGCCTCTGGGATATCTGGAGGAAGGAGGCCCAAGAGTTGGTTTTGTCACCTTGCCGAGCACTGTGATGTAGGATTTATTGTCCATGTGACCCATAATGGCTGCCCTCACCCCATGGGGCATGACTTGGCCCTTTTTTTTTTTTTTTTGAGACGGAGTTTCACTCTTGTTGCCCAAGCTAGAGTGCAATGGTGCAATCTCAGCTCACTGCAACCTCCGCCTCCCGGTTTCAAGCAATTCTCCTGCCTCAGCCTCTCGAGTAGCTGGGACTACAGGTGCCCGTCACCACGCCTATCTACTTTTGTATTTTTACTACAAACGGGGTTTCTCTATGTTGGTAGGGCTGGTATCGAACTCCCGACCTCAGGTGATCCACCCGCCTCGGCCTCCCAAAGTGTTGGGATTACAGGCATGAGTCACCGCGCCCGGCAGACTTGGCCCATTTTTATTTTGTAGAGGAGGGAACTGAGGTCCAGGCAGGGAAGAGCTCTCTCTTCAAGGTGAGGTGAGGAAGGGACACAAGCTCTGGGGTTGGGCCTACAGGAGCCGTGAGGGCAAGCCTGGCTCACTGCACTACCTGGGCTAGGTACATGACCTCCCCTCAGCCTGGCTCTCTGCTCTGTAAACTTGCTGTTGGAGGCCCTAGGATGGAGAGCCGTCGGCCTTTTCAACAGGTGGGGTGAACCCAGGCTCAGCCTGCAGAGCCCTTTAAGGTGGTGGCAACATGGAGTGGTACCCCAGAGAACAGACGAGCTTTCTAGCCAGACGGATGTGCACTCAAGTCCTGCCCCTCTGGGCCTCTGTTTCCCTCTCCATGAAACGGGGATACTCACAGTCCTCACTTCATGGGTGACTGTGGGTAACAGCCTGGTTCACAGGGGCTCATGATGCACACAGGGATAAGGATCATCATGCCGCTTATCCACATTCCCTGTGCGGCCTCCCCACAGGGCACGGACTCCCGTCCTAGCGCCAGCCTTGTAGGCTGCCGAGAAGACCAGGCCAGCACCCCGCCCCCGACCCTGCCCCAGGTTTCTCCAGACCCACTGCCCATTACAGCCTGGTCTCAGTATCAGGCCCCAAGGTGGCCTTCCAGAAGCCTGCCCTGGGCGGAGAGTGCTGACATGCTCGGGAGCCGGAGCCCTGCGTGACACTTACGGCTGAAGGCCTCTGGGTGCTGCCTGGCCAGTTTCCCTTTCAGCGTCCTGCAGGGGAGAGAAGGCACACAGGGCTTAACCTGCTGAGCAGGCAGGCCAGGCCTTGTGCCAGTCACAGGCCCCTGCTGCCGGCTGAGGGCAAGGGGAGACGGCAGTGAGAACGCCACACTGTTCATCACCTCACATCTTCATTCTCTCTAACAGAGTGGCCCAACAGCCACAGCCCTGACAGTCGCCCACCAGCCGGCCTCCAGCCCCAGGGTAGGCAACAACCCCCAACTAGTTAAGACTCTGGGTGCTCTGAGCCTAGGCACTGGCTGGGGGCTCCCCCTACAAGGCCCCTTCTTACATGTGGCCGCCTCTACTTAACTTTTTTTTTTTTTTTTGAGACAGAATCTCGCTCTGTCACCCAGGGTGGAGTACAGTGGTGCCATCTTGGCTCACTTCAACCTCCACCTTCTGGATTCACATGATTCTCCTCCCTCAGCCTCCCGAGTACCTGGGATTACAGGCACGTGCCACCATGCTCAGCTGATTTTTTGTTTTTTTTTTTTTGAGATGGAGTCTCGTTCTGTCGCCCAGGCTGGAGTATAGTGGCACGATCTCGGCTCACTGCAAGCTCCGCCGCCTCCCGGTTTCACATCATTCTCCTGCCTCAGCCTCCCGAG